ATCTTCTCACGTCTTCAGAATACTTGCCGCTTGACAATTAAGCCTAGGAGAGGGGTTTTGCCAGAAAGCTGGCAGTCGCCATTTTGACGTAAAATTTCACCACTGGTGACCAAAGGTGACTCCGGTCAAGCGCCCTCAAGAAGGGTTTATGCTCAACGCCTAGAATTACAGCGCCGCGAAGGCGCAATGCCTAGTAGTAACGATTCGTACAGCCCTAAGGTTCACCTATGGCTAAATTTTGTCTTTCAAATAAAAATGGAAGCTTCTTTTGTTTGAAATTGCTTATAACGTTTATTCGTTTTCAAACGCAAACCTCGAGGAACGACTATTTTTATTGTAGAAATTCTTGTTAAAGTAAAAAAGACTTATTTTTCAAGTTCTGTTTTTCGTTTTCAAATCGGAAAATAAGTGAACGAAATTAATGTACACGGTCCATGTACATTTCATTCATTCGTTTTTGGGATTAAAAACGAAAATTACAAAACAAACCCAAGTACTTTTTCCGTTTTTTGATTTGAAAACGAAGAATTCCCAGAAAATCATTCAGGTAATGAGATTCGTTATGTCCTGCCACAGTGCATCAGCGATTGATCTGGCTGTGAGTTAGGTACAGCGCCCTCTATTTCTTTTATCAAGTTCGTTGCCATTTTTTATGTTTTTTTAACGTTTCGTACATATATATGTACGCACCATACCATGTACATGTACATGTACATGTACATTACGTTACGAAAGCCAATCAGAACAAGCGAACGAAAAATAACGGTGTATTTCAGCTTTTCATGCAAGGTAAGACGAATACATTTTTCCAAGAAAAGAGCACAATCACTGTTACAATTTAGTGAGAAACGACACAACAGAAGGGAACGAACGGTCGTTTGAAATATCCTGTTAACGACTCACAGTCACATCGGGCTGGCTCGCCGTCAATTTTGCGCACCAAATTATTTTGTGTGCATCACAATTCAGATTGTAATTTGTAGCATCTCTACGCAACATTCTTGGTAGGCCGATAGGCGAAGGGAAAGAATATTGCATCCGGGGTCCACTTCAGCGGCTGTTTAGCATGTTTACAAAGTCCAAAAGGGAGTCAAGAAAATTGTCTAAGTAGGGCCTACTCCTACTTTCTACAAAAATTGGGAATTTTTCTCAGTTTTGCCATGAATGACCTTCATGACCTTCAAATTCAATTGTTGACATGGTCATGGTGGCTAAGATACAGCCAGTAGTTCTAATGGTAGATGATAAGCCTAGCCTATATGATGACAGAAGTGGAGGCTGGATGCAAATCTTATGTTAAACTCATACTAGGCTGGCAATCTTGATGGAAAGTCCCATACACAGATAACACTTGAGGCCCTGTGGACAAACTTACTTGTAGGAGACTTGTCTGAAAAACAACAACCTAGGCCTGAGTCAGTGCTTTATATATGTAAACGCTTCCAAATTTTTTAAACTAAATTTCATTTTTAGGATATGTTATCACTTTCTGATGGCTGTTATAAAATTTTGAGGGAAAAGTATTGATGTCCATATATGAAAAGTTTCCATCTTGACATTTTTTTATTTCACTTTTTAGAACCCTTCCTTGTCAGAATTTCACTAAGGCCATTTTCCAATACTCAACTTCGGCTCCGTCTGAGGCTTCAACTTTTTTTTTTACTACCTGACTTTGAAGCTGTAAGCACACTAATTAGTCTAATAGTGCCAGAAAATATTAAATAAGATGCAAGAGAGCAAAAACTTACAGTAATCCAATTTGATTTAAACGCTTCAGGCCAACAATCTGGAATTGGTTTTGGGGATGAAGCCTGAGACGGAGACGAAGTTGAGTAGTGGAAAACGGCCATAATTTCGAGAACTTCTTGTCGGGCGTGTTTCAGACCAAAGTCATCTTTGTGGCTTCGGAAGTCTAACTTTTACAGAATTTACTTCTGGCCTCGAAGGATCGAGGAGTCATTTTGTTGAGGAAATTGTTGGGATTAGACAATGTGAAATTCTTACCAGTTCTGACATGTCTGACAGCTGAATGCATAGAAATGTATGCTCCTAAAAATGTACTGACGTCAGCTTTTTTAGAGGATACTGCCGCATAGACGTGATAAACCTATCCATTTCAAGTGTTCAAGTTAATAAATAGAACCCTTTTGGTATTTGGCTATGTTCTTTGATGTTGATGTAATGGAGACATATACACATGTACTGTCTTATTAGTTAGCTAACAATTTCAATGTCTGGGAGTTTAACCAGAGATGAATTAAACAAGAAGGTGAATATTGAAGAAAACCCACAGTGGATTTGTTTAACAGATCCAATGTGGGTTTAAGAGTCTCTTGGCTGGACTGTTTGGAGAATGTGTATTCAGGGACCTTGTATACTATACTTCTGTAAGAAAATACATGTATATTATTATTTATTGTTGTGTTTGGTAATGACACCAAGGATTCCTCAAAAAAAGACCTAGGCACTGTGGCTCCTAGCTATAGGGAATCTTGTACCGACTCCTGGGAGTCCCGTTATTATTATTATTTATGATTTTCTGGTAATGAAACCAAGGATTCCTCACATGCGTCCCGGACATTAGCTCGCAGGCCTTGAAGAAACCTGTATCTAGAGGAGACGATGAGAAGCAGTCAATTTTAGAGGTGGGAAGAAAACCCCAGAGGAATATTCTGGGTAAAACGTATGGAATCAGGGTAGGGACTGAAAACCTAATCCACATGTGGACCAGGCCAGGAATTGAACCCAGGACCACAGAGGTGGAAGGTGAGGAAAGAACCACTACGCCAACCTGACTCTCCATGCTTTGTGACTGTATCAACCGCTGGGTGCCTTTCAGACACCATTCCAAATTATTGCTAGTGAATGTACATGTACTTGCCTGGGTGTTTTCTCTGAAGCACAGATGGAAAACCCATAATAACACCTGTTTGGATCATTCTACACCCCCCTCAGCTCTAATGCTCCAGTGCATTGAGTAATGAAAATGATCTTAGTTGCATCAAGATGCGGGTGATTACGGCCAATTTTCCACACTGTCGAAACCGATTACGACTTCCAGATATTCTCCCCTGCAACAAGAGGCACGTGATGGCTTTTACATGTGTGCAGCGAGCCCATCAGTGGTTCACGGGGGTTTCTCAATGACTACATGTACCTTTATTTGTCAGCCTGAGGGATTTGTACATGTACTTGAATTTGTGAGTGTGCGAGGCCACAGAAAATGTGTTGGGGACAGGGCTGAAACATTTCCCTTCTAAAGAAATTTTGTATTTTTTGAAGAATAATGATAGAATAGATAAAGAGATACACGTGCAGTCTGTTTGATTTCCCTTCCTCCCAGTCCTTAAAAAGCCACAAACTGTTGTCTTATCCCTCAGAAAGGCTATAACAGGTAACATTTGTTACCCCCTCCTAGAAAGACTCACTCCCCCCCAAAAAAAAATTGGTTTCAGATCTGCCCGAGCCAGAATGGTGAAATTCTTGCAACAAAAACAAAATCTGTCTAAAAACCAATATAATACTGGTATACATGTACCTCAAGAGATGTGCTTTTTGAAGGTGTGTTGATGAATTTGTTTCCTTAGAGACTGACTGCACAGTACTGATTGGTTACAAACCACGTTATTACGGTAGCTTGGCATGTGACTTTTATTCAGAACTAAAATTTGTCCTTTTCAAGAGGCAGACACAGATGTACTGATGGATAAATAGTCTACCATATCAGGAATGGTTAATTTGCACTTCATACATGTAGCATCAATATCCAATAATCATGAATTCCAGTCCAACTTTTAAAACCTGTAATGGTTTTAAAAGTTATCCATTTCCCACGATTTCACCGTGTGGGACATTGTGTTTGACCGTTTTTAAATCAAACCTTTTTCTGTGTCACTCGGAACAAAAATGTGTGCTTTGAATCATAAAGAGTTCACAAATAAAACTCTTTCTGGTGGAATGCTTATTTCAGAACAAAAAGGTTCATGTAGGTTTTAAACAGAGACAGGTCTACATGTACATGTATATTACAGTGTATCGCCTGACGTTCTGAGTGGAGAGTTAATGATTTTGAATACAAAGGTAAAAACTTTCCATCATACCGATAGGTAACTTGGCATTAGCCGTGGCATTGTTGGCATTGTTGGCATTAGGGCACAGGTGATCATGTGCCAAATTAAGCAAGATTTACAACTCAACCCCCCACACATGCTTGCATCTGTGGCTCATTTCTTATTGTTCAGTTGTTATTTTTTTTGTCTCTAGACTCTGGTAGAAACCAGTCTGTCCATTTGAATTTATAACCCAGATAAATTTTCCAATCAAGAAGTCTCCAGCGGTCTCGAGAGAAATGTTGGCAGTATGAGTCATCATTCCACACGTCACAAAACGTTTCAATCAATCCAATCCAAGATCAAACCAACCATTAACGTGGACTGACTGTGATGTAGAATTGTATAGGGCTTCCTTACTACAGGACCGGTACATTAATTGTCTGTAAATGTACCTTCACTTTGTTTAAGGATTCATGGAGTGAATTTCTCTAAGACTGACTTTTTGTGCATCTTTACACTTCTCTTCAATCCATGAGAACTGTTTGACTTCATCCTCTTGGAGTTAAATGCATACATGTAGTTTTTAAAGTGCACTAATTTAAACATAAAAAATTGTCCCAGCTTTTCTGGACAAGCGAGGGTGCTATTGCAGTAATGTACATTGGGGAAGGCACTGTTCAATTTACGTTTTCATGTTCAAATGTTGAGCCTCAAACTTGCTCTTTAAAAATATTTCTGAGAAGAGATTGCTTGTTAGCTCATTGCTTCTTATACATGTACATGTATGTTCTAACAATGCATTTCCAAAGAACAGGAAAATATAAAATATGCAGCAGTTTTTATGCACTGATCAGAAATCGGTTCAGCATTTAGGTTCATTATTTGATATGCCATAGAGTCCTGAAGTGAATACGTCACGTGCACAATTAGTGTGTAAAAGGCGAGAACGCGAGAACCAGCACGTGAACCAACACGTGCGCGTACTCCATTCGTTTGCACTGCACTTTCTGGTTCACAGTGACGTCACACTTCGGTATTCGATAGTTTTGCTCATGGTAGTGTGCAACTTTGAATGAGAAAAACAGAAAGGCTCAGAAATACCGGTAGAATAAAACAGCAGAACGAAATTTGAAAATAGTTTTGAAACGGAAAATTGCAATTTCAAGGATTACTGTAAAATAAAACAGGTGTATTGCGCGGTCCCTTGAAATTACAGGCAGCAATGAATGCTGCAGTAATACGTACAATGTACATATGTACATGTATGCATCCATTTTGATAATGGTTTTCATGAAATTAGGTGATCATACATGTACATTGTACAAATGTCCATGTACTCCACCTGTGCTAAAGGCTTACTTGATGGCTTCATTGTGTGTGCATGCAAACATGTAATGAATGCAATCTTGCACTAGTTCTGTTCATTGTACATGTACATGTACTGCGGGGCTATACTGGTACATGTACATTAATATGTATTGATACCAGTGCAAAACCTGAAAGCTGAAACATTTTTTGTTTGGATAAGATAGTATTTGTGATACCAGAAATAATACGCCACAGCTGTATCTAATTCAAAATACTAGTATGGTAATACACTGTATGTACAGGTGTGTCATACATAGTGTGGACCTCTGCACAAAAGAAGTCCACATAATGCAGGGTAAGATGGCATTGTGTGGACTTGCACATGTCCACACAAGGTTTCCCCCTCTCCGGGAAAGGGGTTTAGAGGCATTTTGGGGTAGGGGTCAGAGGAATAGTCAAGGAAACCTTGTACAAAAAAACAGCCAAAAATCATGTTTCCAGTTCAAGAAAAATGAGTATTTTCACTGAGTTTTCTTAATTGCACGAAAACAAAGGAATGTCCACAGTAGGTACATGTATGCAACGTAAATGGTTAAGTGTGCTCGCATGTGCCTGATGTTACAAAATTTGTCACAGTTTGTTATTGTAAGTTATTGTAAAGTTGTATCGTTATTTATCAAGGTAACGTCATGGCCTACATGTATTTCAACCATTTTTCACCTATTATGAGAATTTTTACCCTCGTTTATTATTCACTCCTTTACAAAGTCACAAATCATCTATTAGAAGAGATTAATCTTATTTCACTTCCAATATGATTTGAACGTGACAAAAGAAACAGAGGTGAACATGGATGGGCCATAATTTAATGCGACCCATATTGATCGTGCAGGATGCCTTCTGTGAAGTTGTTCATAAGCGCAGTTATCTCATTATGCGCCTAATGGAACATATGCAGGCAGTCGGGATGCTATTGACATGCACACTTGAATATTTACACCTGTGTGTGCACCACCTCATGTATGTAAAGATGGCATATTCCAACCACTAAGGCATGGATTATATTTGATTAATAGTGGGTAGAGATCACGTAATCATTTAATGCATCAGCCAAGATAATCTTCAGAGAGGTACATGCTAGTATAAATACATTGTACAAATTATTCACATATTTTAAGTGTATCTGTGTACATGTATCTGTACAGTTCCTTACAATTTGTTAATTAGTAAATTAATGGTCTTTTCATTGAAATTTGGTTCAAGGCTGTGTGTTTGGTAATTTTAGAGCGAAATTTTTAGGTACTTGTTAACTTTAGAAAATAGAATGTGTGGAGTTCATCCCTACACAAACAGTGTACCGGTACCAGCTATGTGCCCATCCTGCATTGCAATGTTTAAAAAAAAAAGGGAAAATTTCCAAACAATAAATTTATTGCTACCCCTAATTGTTCAATTTTTAAATAACTGTTATATAGGCACTTGCAAACTTGTAATTTTCTGGCGGCTGACAACTTCATCTGTCTGGCCATTATGCACAAAAAAAAAAAAAAGAGAACTGCTAAATCTCCATCTCCCTTCGGGAAGCGTGTGACTCACCGGTTTCATTCATAAATCAGGATTTGCACTGTCAGGAGACGGCCTGGCCAAATGAGATGTAATTTACGCAGCTACCCACGCACACCACGCTCCGCTCTCTAGCAACATCCGAGAGATTTTGCCCGTAAGCAGCAAGGGCGGGGGTGTCGGGTGGATGTTGAATGAAGGGCGTTGTTGGTAATCTTCCGGAGATGATGACGACGTTTGGAAGCCTCGTTGCCGCCTTGCCTGTCATACTGCCATAGCATAATTCTTAGAATCTTTGCTAAAGTAAATGTACAGTACACCATACAGTGTGTACATACACTAAAGTGAAATTTGAAGATTGAAATTTTTCAAGTGTAATCTTAAACAGGTGAGTTTGACAGTCATTTATGTGTATACATGTACATGTATGTACACTGTATGTTCGTTCATGGAATATTCTGTGGTAACATCTGATTTGCCAAAACTCTGTTACCTTCATGCAGTTCGTATTTGTGTACAAGTGTACGTACGTGTACCCATGTCATTATCATATCGGAAAAGAAATTAACAGTGCCATGTTATGCAGTGTTGATTTGTCTTTTCAGAAATCCGCACGAAAACAGGACAATTTAAAGGAGTTTGTCTGAATCAGTGTTGGAATTTGTCAAGATCTTGAAGATTAACAAGCTGTTTTTTGGTTTTGTTTTTGGTCACCCATGCTGTTGTTGGTAAAGGAAATTGTGGCTTCCCCTTGACTTGGTCAGTTTTTGAAGTAAAGCAGATTTTTTATTCAATATCGGTTTGGACGTAGATGGTTTGCATATTTGTGCAAAGCGTTGGCACAGTCAGACACCATATATTTATTTTTTCAATCAGTACTTTGCACTACTCTCTGAAGCTGAACACTTTCCAGGTTTCTGGATGCATTGGTCAGTGAAAAAACCTTGTTGAACCTGTGACCTCTCAGTTTTCAAGGAATGCTACCGGTACGTGTCCAAGTTTCGATCTGAAATTGGTCACAGCATGCATGTACCGGTACATAAGCCTACGTACAATTATTGGACAAGCCCCCCCCCCAACTTGTGACATCAGGAAAATTGTAGGCGGAGAGACCAAGGATTCCCCTTGGCCCTCCCAAAAAAACGTGTACTGCTGTTGAAAGTAATACCCCAGGGTGTGCAAGAGATTATATTCAAAGTAGATGGAGTTGCGACTGTTAGGGTTTAACGGTGAACATTGTAAGCTCAGGTCGGGCATGTGAGGGTAGCAGTGACACTGTCCAGATGTGCAGTCTACCGGTACATTCGACAGCCACCATTTGCCAAGCTGAAATTTCATAATTGCACGGTATACAAATAATACAGTAGCTTCAAAACAAAAACATGCCAGCGCCGCATCACATCTGCATAAATGATTGTAATTTACAGTTACATGTATAATAAGTGCTTTTCCTGCTGCTGCTGTGAAAAGTGCACCGGCATTGTCTGGCACTTTTTTGAGTGGGCGCGTGTTCAGGCTGTCTTCAATGATATACGTACACGTACCGGTATGTGCCCGTGTGCTCAGGGTGGAGGCCGTGAAATGCAGTGGTGTACCAACTTGTACTTATCCCAGGATTCCTGTGTACATGTATAGTACATGTACCATTTGGTAAATTAAGTTGTACCCTGAATACACACCTACACCTCTGGCAAGTGTAGTTTTACATTTAAGGAAGCCCAGGGGTGTGTTTGTGCCTGTAGTGATTTGTGTGATTACTGCTAGACAGGATCAGCTTAGTAGACCATGATTAACCCACTGATTTATGCCAATTGATGTGCGGACCAAACACGCCGTACGGCTTGCCCCGCAAATTCGTTTTTAAGGAGGAAGGTCAGGTTGGGTGCTGTCCCCTCAACCTCAAAGCTTGTTGGAGAAGCTGAATTGTGCTCCATTGTTCAGCAGTGTGGTTGAGGGTTGGTTCTTTTCTTCACAAGAGTCGAAGAGCGCCCCCAGTTGTTCAGTAATTTATAATGCAGTAATGTCCACAATTAAAACCTCTGCATGCCACAGAATTTAAAGCCCCAGATGAGATGTGGCATTGAGATTTATTTAAAAAATGTCCAGTCAGTTAATCCATCAGACTTGAATTCATCCCAGGTGCTGGTGTCGTGTAGCCCTTCATGTCTTTGTGATATCTTGAGTGTTCCCGGCGCACCACCATATCTGATGCATCCCATTACTGAGATTTAGCATCTAATTGCTCAATAATGATGTTCACATTTTACACCATCCATGGTTACTTCATACATGATTACTATAGATAGATAGAGTATATTATGCAGATGAAGGCTTAATCAGACCTTGTGGTTGCAGATTTCCTTCCCTTGGCCAATTGATTAAATTACAACGAAATTCCATCAGGGCTTAGCGTGATTCATAGCAACATACACTGGAGCTTGATGGTGTCTTGATGAGTGATTTTGGCTATGATGTTGGGAATGGCACCAGTAATTTATTGCCGCTGACTGAAGTGGCCCACCTTCTCGTTTTGTCGCACATTATTTTACATTTTAGGTTTATTAGTTGTTAGAATGAGAACTTTTCTGTTTATAAATACAACAAGTAACCCTTGTCAAGTGTTTTACTCAGTAGTTGTGACCATGCACAGGTCTGCTTTTTTTGGTAAAAGGTTTCCAATGTTGATTTGACTGCTGCAGATTTTAAAACCTGCTGTGAGTCTGTTGTAATGAATTCAACTTTGAAGAGAGATACATGCCTGATATTTATTCCTTGCTGCTAAAAGCATTCTAAAAATGGACAGTGATCTTCACTTTCGTGTTTCCAGCCTTTCAAAGTGTTCAGTACTGAAAAAAAGTATCCAGGTAACAAACTGTGCATATGCATGAACATGTACGTGTCGTGCAAAGTCTCAGGCGCTTTTCAGACATGTTTGAGACTAGAGGTTAGTACACTGTGACATGTGAGATTCCCTTTGTCAGGTACAGACAATTCCCAACATCAAAACGAGGGACATAGAAGCCTGGTCACTGTACGTTGTTCATATACCCTATGTCGGGTCCCCTTCTCTAATTTGAAATCCAGGGCACTCATACACGGTGCGGGCCATGCGCACTCTCTTCTCAGTTCCTTCCAATAAGCCTCTGATAGCGGGAACCGACCCCCCAGCTGACAAATCCCCCATCCCATCAGGCTTCCAACCCCCAAGGTCTGCCCCCTTTACAGCACGCACCTCCCGCCCTGTGTCCAGCACCTCAATGTTATTCTAGCTGATGATGTTTTCTTTTCATGTTCCCAGTTGCGGGGCAGCAAGGTGTGACAAGTCAAGCTGGGATCAGCTGCGTCCAATTTCAGCCTCCCTTCATTAAAGGACCCCTGCAAGAGATTTTCACTTTTGCATCACCAGGACTGTGGTAAGCCTCAAGATTAGGTTGGTCCTCTTTTTTTCCCCGGTCTTTCCAGGAATCTTGAACAACTTCCATGCTGCTTACAACAAATGCCTCCCGGTATTCCTAATCACCTTTACTCATGGTCTTCAACGTTGAAGGACCCCAAATGATCAGCTTTTGCTAGAAAGGTTACCCCCATCAAAGAGGGTAAAGATGGGAATGTTCACTTCACTTTACTCTTAGCCAGTTGTTCCAGGATTTCTTAAAACTGAATATTTCAGAAGAGCACAGTGCATGTACACTACGGTAAGAGTGTTCATGAGAGCATTCATATTCACATTTATTGTACATGTCTGTGAAACATGTACAGTGCTCTGCTTCCTCACCAGAGCTTGGTCACCTTTCCGGCAGTAATTTAAGACTTATGCATTTTGATAGTACACATGATATTTTACCAAATTATTTTAAAGAATATGCAGTGATAAATTATATAGAGAAATGATCCTGACTACTAACAGCAAGATTTATACGTCCATAAAAGCCGTTTTAATACATTGTCGTCGGCCGGAAGGTCTAACAACAGCTGAAGGGAATGGGGAATGTGAAAATCATGTTTCAACCTCTGACTGCCCTCAATCTCATCAGACCATACCCTCAGTCCCACCAGACTCAACCTCATCAATGCCATCTGTGGCTTGCAGATCTACAGATTTCGGCAGCATCTGAACCGAGACGGCCCCCCGGGGCTCGGCGCACTGCTCCTCAGCCCACTAAGACGGCAGGATGCCCCCTAGCCATACATTGCCAGCTGGTACATGTAGCTGAGCAACCAGGGTGAATCATCACCATTTTTGCCTTGCCGACTATCGGCAAATGTGGTCTGCAGCATTTTTCAGCTTACCTCCACCGGCATCCTAATACTTGAATGTTCATTCCAGAAAGAATAAAACCAAAATGATTAAGTTTTACCCTGCGAATCCCACTCTGGTTAAGGGGAGTTGTCTTAATTGGAAATTTCTCAGATTCCAGGTTGTTCTGCCAAAAGTTCAGAACCTTTGTCTTCATAGGGGTAAAAAATGAAGTTAAATTTTCCTGAATTCCTTGCATCAGGCTGTGAGACAGAATTCTCCAGCAGTCACAGACCAGTGATTTTCACACAAGGTGGAATCTTGTAAAATAATATGCAGGTAGCCCACCATGAACTTAGTGCAAATACAGTGTTATTGGGAACACAAATGAGTACTGTACAGTACCTATGCCAACGTTAAAGCATTTTTGAAGCTTTTTAACATATTTGACTACGTAGACTACTATGCCAATAGATGCCATTACCAACAGCTGCAAGAAAACAGCATTTCTCAGAGATGCAAAAACCTTCCTCCCACTGCGCAAGTCTATGTTTTATACTGTGCTGTAAGTAATTCAGTTTTTATTCAAACCGGTTGGAGCCGCCCTTGTTTTTTCATTGATTTTGACAGCAGCGATCAAATGTCCTGTACTCGTTCCTGTGCTCCGGTGATATTCTTGCCCAGCGGATATTGCAATTTGGCTTTCAGTCCCGGTAATGATGGAGAAGGGATTTGTATCTCCTGTCGTTATAATCTCTCCTGTTCTCCGGTTGCCCGACTACGGGTCCCAGCTAAGGAATTAACAATATTCAGAGGTAAAATTTGGAAACCTGTAGAGGCTGTAATGTATCAAGGTGTCATCAGTTCCCCGTCACGATCAAAGCGCGTCGTCATGTTGCCAGAGGCGTTGGAGCTCTGCTGGGCACATGTAGAATTGATGGTGATGCGATGCCCAGGGTGCATTCGTACACATTTTTATTTTAGAAACATTAACTTGAAAATTATTGTGAGTGCAGTGGTCACGGCATGAACATGCGCACACTGTGAAGCTGCATGTACAGCATTTCACCGTTGACTGGTCGCGTGCATCACATCAATTCTGCGACCCGTTTGCATCATTGCGTGACTTGCTCCGAGAGTTTAAGAATTCCATCTGAGTGAAAATGCATCTGGAGCACAACCTGATGATTCTGTTTACAGACAGTTGGCATTGCACAGATTTTCCTCATATGAGCGTCGCATTGTGCATTCAGATCGAGTTATCCTGCAAAATTGTTTTCCATCAAGGCAGACAGCCTGTGTTCAGCCTGCATGTTTTCTAACAAGCCAAGAACCTTTTGATCTTTCGTGAGAAAAAGCACATTAAAAGCACTCTAATAATGATTGCCTGTCTAGAAGTTGTCCTTCCGATCTAGTTATGGTTTAGAGGTGTATGACAAAAACTGTATTTGCACTTACATGTAATTGCCTTCGGATTACCAATTACATACATGTACATGTGCATACATGAACTTATGTTTTTGCTCTGTCAGAGTTTTTGTTGTTGGCTGAATAACTTAAAGGGCAGCTGCAATCAATTTGTTTTATTACAAACTTACAAAAAGCACCCTATTTGTCTCAGTTAACCTTATTTTCAACTTTTTTTATTATTTCAATGGTTTTTTTACTGCCCTTTCGGTTACTATGCTAACGAGATTTCCATATTCATGAGCACAACTGTGATGTCATTTTAGGGAGAAGCCTCAATGTTATGTTGGTTTGTGTGCAAAAATGTCCTGCATTTTTGTAGATTTTGCTGGAGTCAATTTTCTCATCTTTGCTGATTCAGTGTTGTTTGTGTGCATAACAATGGGACGATGTTTTCAGTAAGTACCAGTATATTTTGGGTTTACAATTTGAACAGAAAAGCCTGTACATGTACACTAGGTGTCTTGAACCACCGTACAGGTACATGTACATGTATATGGGCCATTCTATACAAGTACATGTACTCGTAAATTAGGGGGCTATTTTTTTTCTGTGACCCTGTCACAGCTGACGTACGATTTTGTAAGTTCAAAACACAATTTCTAATTTTCAAGAGCACTTGATGAATTAATGCAAATTACCTGCCAAACAAATAGTAATACCGTAGTTTGAAATCAATTTCAGTGATATTTCTTTGTCAAATTACACAGGTAAGATGTAACAGGGACACAAAATGTCACACTTTTGGACCCTGAATTTATAGAATGACCCTTATACATGTACATGTATCTTTCCTAGATGATGTCACAGCAACAGTGCCCTCAGTTGTCCAGGAAAGCATGGATAATTTTAATGGTGTAAAAAGTGCACTTTTCAGTGCACTGAACCAAATATATACATCGGAATGTAAAAGAATTTGCATACTGTGAAGAAGAATAGAGTGTCGAAGAAAAATTGGAAGAACATTTATTGCAGGCAAGAGTTCGTCGTGAGTCATGAGTTATACAATGGGCAGTGGATGGCGCATTAGGTCAGGCTACTCCTCCCTGGCCTGACGCCCCCTCCCATGGAGGACCCGTCAGGTGTAATCTGGGGATCCAAATGCCCAGCATCCATCCTGCAATGTCATGCCCAGCTCTGTGAATGTTGTTCACCACACTCGCAGTCATGCAAGTGCATGGGCTGTAGCCTGATTAATTTGATTCCGTGCAGGAATTTGCAGTGGTACTGTATCTGTTGCTTCCATAGGAAAATCATTACATGTATCACGTCCATAAATGTTTGGTGAATTTACATACATGTAGAGTTCAGTGAGATTTCAGAGTGAGCTGATCTGTTACATGTAACTGGTACAAGTACATGTACAGTGCACATGTATGTACATGTATGTCTCAAAGCTTGTGATCTGTAACCATTGATGTTTAACATTCATACATTTGCATATGTTGAATTGTTTTGGGAGAACACCTTAGACTGAAGGTTATGAGAGTCTGTGATTCTGTCTCTCGGGATTTCAAGGGCGCCTGAAATGAATACACACACGTATGTATTCCTGGAATTGTCCAAGAGTAATTCCCTGTACTAACCATCAAGTCTTGTCAACCTTCCAGCTGAACCACGGAACTAGGTCAACTGTGCCCCGAATGTCAGACAGAGAGGTTCGATTGCTGGTCACCAGTGCCAGCCGCAAGACTGGAATATCATTCAAGCATGAGCAGGTGCCGGGGGTTGCTGCCGAGGTGAAGCAGCGCATTCTGCAGTGTCCAAACCCCAATTAGATGCGGGGAGGTATTAAATCCCTGGCGCTGTCTTCTGAAAGGTCTCCCAAGTTCAAGTTCTTTAAAGCAGCGTTGAAAGTCCCAGTCAAGCATAACGAACCATACATGTCTCTTCAGCTTGCAAAAATCCCAACTCTCAGTTTGGTCTGTGTTCTGTGTAAACTGAAATGTTCCATTCTCACAGTTTCGGTTGTGTCCTGTTTTCTGTAAAGATCCGGCGTTCTGATAGTGTTTATTGAACTCACAGAAAGGTTTAAAGTCTTTCAATCAACACTGAGTCCTGCATTCAGTTTAGCACTTCACTCTGGAATGGCTTTCACTTTGTATTTTACACAGAAGAATATTTCCTAAATGGGAAAGCCACAGAACTGTACGTGTCTGATTTTCAAGTACTTTCCACAGTACTTTTCACGTTACTTCAGACAGCTGAGGAGAGTATCCCTGAGTTGTCACTTTTGGTTCACCGCAGTTTGGGCATGCTCTCTAGCTCAGTTGAAATACATGTATTTGTACATAAAGTTTGCCCACTGATGAACTGAATCAACAAAGACACACCGCCCCAAAAAATTGACCCCCATAAAAAAATTGAAATATTTAGCAATGTCTGAAGTGCAGCAGTTCCACTGTTCATGAAGGCTTTGGCCTGAGATGATATCACAGCTTTGCTCCTGAACTCAGAAGCTACTATAAAATTGGTAGAAAAATGAAAGGCACTGAAACGGTCTCAGTAATGAAAGTACATGAAAGAGGATGCAAAATTTGTCTTGCATTTGGCCTTTCTTAAGACCAGCGTTCCACTGGTGTAAAGTGTTCTTCCAGGTTTCAAGTTCAATCTGGAAGCACTCAGGAAATTCTCAAATGGCAATATCTCACGTCTCGTCTCCAGTCGGACATTGTTTTCTTGCTGTGTTTGAGCCAGCAACCAGTGCTT